TTTCTTAAAGCAGAGCCTCCTAGGTTTAGGTAGGCTTTAGCTGCTTTTAATGAGAGTCTGAGGAATGTAAATGTACTGGACTTATTTGAAAATTATTCTTGTTTACTAGAGATTAGGAAGAAGTTCTGTATTTCATGCAGTTCACAGTTTTCTTAGGTTCTTAGAAAGTCTGTTCTTGAATGGTAACTCCAAAATCCTAGAACAAAATTCAGTTGTTTTTCTCTTTAAAAAAATCCTATGGTTTTTGTTTCATTTAAAGGAAGTGGTGAGGGCTGAAGATATAGCTCAGTGGTGCAGCACCTGCCTGGCAAGCATGAGATCCTGAGTTCAATTCCCCATACCAAAAAAAAAAAAAAGGAAATGGTGAATTTTCAGATTTTTGAAATATTAGTCATATGACCAGTCCCTTCCCTGCAAATATGAGGTATCTGGGTGGAAAACAACTTGATTATTTCGAAGTATTGGGCATTAGCAAGGTTGCATAAACTTCAAATGACCAGGGTCGACAAACACTATGGTTCCTTCATTCACCACTCTTTCTTGGGCTTCGTGGAGCACACTTTTCTTTCGGTTGTCTTGCTGTGGCAGTTGCTCTTTTTCGTCCAAGTCCTTCACAAAATTAATGCTAAGAATTTAGTGTAATTACACTGAACCTGTACATCATTGATGAGAATTAACTTTTTGATTTTGAATCTTTCTGTTGAAAAGCATATGTATCTCCATTTTATTATGTATATATCTTTCTTTTAGAATAAAGTATCATAATTTTCCCATATATATTCCCATATGTATATGGCGCATATTCCTAGATTTATTTTTGTTCCTAGTGTCAATGGTATCTTTGTGTATATCTTTTGTCTACTGCAGATATAAAGAAAGGCAGTTATTTCTAATATGGATCTCATATACAGCCATCTTGTGACAGTTCTTTTTTAGTAATCTGTTGATCTTTCTAGCTTTCTGATGGAGACATTCATACCAATTGCGAAAGACAGTCTTACTCTTTTCCGGTGTTTACTGTATTTATTTCTCCCCAGGGAAGGATTTCAGAACAATACTGGGCAGAGGTGGTAACACAGACTCACCTGTGTAGTTCTTGGTTGTAGGAATGGCCGCTAATACTTTACTAGTAAGAAACAGATTTTTCATCAGGCCAAGGACTTTTCTTCTATCCGTAATTTATAGACAGTATTTTCCGTGAATTAAAGAATCTGACCATTTCTCAAATGCTTTTTCTCAATCTACTGAAGTGCATGTATTTTATCTTAATTGCTTAATATCATAAACTAAATAATATTTGCAAACAGAACCTACCCTCACATTCCTGGGGAAACCCCCAAGTGGTCCTTCCTGCTGGATTTCTCTACGTTCCCAGTGAGACTGGCTCATCTTGTTCTTTTCTTCCCTGTTTTTGTCAGCTGTAAACATGAAGGTTACACTAGTCTGAGATGAGTCTAGGAGTAAACGCTCACTACAGTGGTCTGTGGAAAAGCTTGTGTAAGACAACTGTAATCTCTGTTCCTTTCAGGTTCATTATAATTTTATGTTGTTTTTTAAAATTACTTTTTAAGGTAATATGTAACTCCAGTGTCAGTGGTTTTTCTCTTGAATTTGAGATTATGAATAACACGAATTTGAGATTATGAATTTCCCTCAAATACAAACTTCAATTATTTAGATATATATTAATTTTATAATCAGTCTCAGAACTTTTCTTTGTATGTATTTTCTTCTTTGACTCCTGAATTATTTAGTAGTTCCTTTTAAATTTACAGATACTATATATGAGTTAGAAATCTCTACATATTAATATTATTTTCACTTACCTGTATCATAGACAGAACAAGGTTGATCTATACCAATTTTCTGAAATTCAACAGACTTTAGGGTCTAGTGTGACACATTTTTGTAAATGCTTTGTATGTTAATGAGAATATTATATACCCTGTAATTTGAGGTTAAGAGTCCATTACACCAGACTTGATAATCAAGCTGTTCAAATAGTTTTATTAACTTTTGAGAAATTTACCCACAACAATAATTTTGCTAAATACAGACAAATTTATCTGTATCATTTTACTTGTGCATTTTAAAACTTGTTTTTAGATATACAAAGATTTAGAGATATGCCTCCTAAAAAGATGAATATTTTATCACATGCTGCAACTCTCTCTCCAATAGTACTTTTCATCTTAAAGTTCTGCTTGATACCAATACTGACATGACCTTTCATTTGGTTAATAATCTGGTTTAAAAAAAAAAAAAAAAAAAAAAAAAAAAAGAAAGAAAAAAAAAAAAAAAAAAAAAAGGAAGCTATACCAGATGTGGCTTGTTAACAATACACAACTGATTTTAACATTAATAGCAGTTTCATCAATTGGCATTATTGGTAATTAGACATTTTAAGTTTACCCTACTGCTTTCATTTTTACATTTTTAAGATTTGATAAACTTCTGAGTTTTGCTTTTCTTACTACTCTCTCCAACCCACTATTTATTTGCAATTTGTATGTTTCATTCTTAGTCCATGAATTTTACCAAGAATAAATCAGCCCTACGTGCAAAATCTTAAGCCCCTACCAAACAACAGTAAGCCCTTAGGCCTTAAATCTCTGAAAGATAATGAAAAAGTCCTGGGTCAAGCAAGAAGCAAGTTTCTAAAATTAAAAAAATTAGTGTAAATATAAAACTACAAGCAGCATCAACTTTTACTTTCATGTTAAACATGTAGCACAGGCAACTACTAAGTCAACAGCCATTACAGAAATTAAAACATGTATATTTTAAATCTAAACTAACATAAGACTCCAAAAGGTATTAAATGGCCAAATTTTACTCTTGTTTCATATAAAAGATAATTTCTCTATACATCACAGGAAAAGATGCAAACCTTTCACCTCATACTATAGAAGGAATGTAATTTTGACAAACAATCCAGAAAACAGTAACACGAAAAACAAAATTAGGTTAATGTCATTTATGATTATACCAAAAATATTCAAGTTGACTCCACATTAAAAACCACCACTATCCCTAATCACAATGACCATGTAGAGTTTATTCCAGACACATAAGATCAGTGCAGCATTAGTAAGTTTACTAATGTAACTGTATACCAGTTATAATTCTGACATATATTTTACAAGCACTGATAAATGTTAATTTTTTCTTAGATTAAAAAACAGTACAAATTAAAATAAAAAACAATTTTCCTGAATCTGACAATTTGTGGCAAAATATTAAAGGTACTCTCCAAAGTGAAAGACAGATAAGGATAAACACACTCACCTCAACAAATGAGTATTGTACTAAGGGCCTTACCCAGTGTGAAAAGAAAATGAAAAATACATAAGATTAAAAAGTTGAGAAAGAAAAAGATAAAACTGCACAATTTATAAATAATTATTGATCGATAATGAGCTTTTCACCTGGAAAACACAAGAGAATTAATTAAGGAAGAACAGTAACACAAGTAATTAGTAAGTTGACCTGATATAAAATAAGCACACCTAATTTAGTAACTTTCCTATAGACCAAGACTGCAATGAAAGTATGAGGAAGAGGGGCTGGGGATTTAGCTCAGCGGCACAGCGCCTGCCTAGCAAGTGCAAGGTCATGAGTTCCCGCCCGTATCAGGGGAAAAAAAAAAAAAAAGAAAGTATGAGGAAGAACACATTCAAAAGAATAGATGCTACAAAAGAGCTAGGAATAAATTTGAGGGTGAAAAAAATGGCATAAAATCAAGACCAATATGGACAAAATGATAAAACTTTCTTGAAGGACATTAAAAAGCAAATAGCTCCTCAAAAAGGAGGTACCCATACTATGGATAGAAAAATTCAGAATCATAAAATGTTCTTTTCCTTACTTAACATAATTTAATAAAATTCCAGTCACAGCCATTACATCCTGGTAGAGTATTTTCCCTTTGCTCTGAAAAATAACAGTACTAAATTCATATGGAAAAGCTGGTATGTGAATATCAACAAAGAAAAATTTTAAGGAGGAAGAATAATGGTAGAAACCTACTGAACTCAAATAAGAGTGGCAGTGAAAAGACATTCTCTATAATGCACTGCATAACAAAATATTAATATTCAAATCTTTTAGGGTTGGGGTTATAGCTCAGTGGTAGAGCACTTGCCTGGCATACATGTGGCCTAATTCAAACCCTAGTACCACAGGGGACAAAACAAAAAAAAAATTTATTTTAAATAAATATTAAATGATCCTACAGAAGGATAAAGGATGTGAAAAGGCAATTTACAGAAGGAAAAAGGTACACCTAATTTGAAAGATAAAACACCACAAATGCATGTGGAGAAATGAAAATGATGAGATGTCTCTTTATTTTCTTTTGAAAAACTCAACAGCAGCATTAGATGCCCACAATAGTATGACAGAACAGGTATTGTCTCTTAACTTGTGGAAATATAAATTTTTACAATGCTTAGGAATCTATTGTTATATAGAAGGATATTCACTGCTTTAATGAAAATCAATAAATACAAAAATATAAAAAATAAAAAACCCTAAATGTTCATTAATGAAATAATTTAAAATTTCTGATTACTATGAGTAAGTATGCAACAGTAAATTGAAAACTGGTAACAAGAAAGTACCCTGATCTATCTGTACTGTAATTCTGAGGATACAGCATGATAGTACTTGTGGAACAAGACCCAAATCCATAAATGTTTGCATAGTTACTTAAAAGATAAAGACACCTTAAATAAATGGCCATGTCAATTTCTTATTTTATAATAAGTATACTGAATGCCATACTATCAAACACAGGAGTAATCTGTAGTTACACAATGTCTTACACAACCTTTTTTTTTCCAATTGAATAGTGCTATTTTGAAATGACCAGCTGTGGGTTATGATTACCTACTTATAAAGTATTTGACCAAAGTTTAGATAAAAAGACAGTATGTAGCTTTAACTCTGACCTGAGTGACACCCCTTAGCATTTTGAAAGGAGAATTAAGTGTGCTTACCAATGTCATTAATCACCGCTCTGATCTTGGAGACAAAAGGACCAACTTCACTGGAATGCATTTTGGCTCTTTCCTTAAGGTCAGCACCTGCAAAGTATTTCATTTACAAATATAATCTTGTTATACACAAAACTGTAAGGCAAAGAACTGAAACTTTACTTAAGATTAACGCGTAACTGGAAGGTCCCCTGAGTCATCTGGTAAGGAATTCTCTAACCTAAGCTCTTCTCCCAGTGACCACTATCAGCCAGAATACAGCATTTGCTTGTTCACAGACTGCAACGTGCTAGGGCAGTGCCTCTTGAGCTTCCAGGCCTCCAGACCCCTCCCACTCTCAAAGAAGAAACTGTCCACAATGCACTGATTGATAATTATTCTAAAAGAAACTAAACCTAAGAAAAACTTTATGTGTCTCTTTATTTAAAAATACAAGTAAAGCCAAGTACGGTGGCACATGCCATAAACCCCTGGTAGTCAGGGGGCTGCGGCAGGATTATCAAAAGTTTGAGGCTAGCCTGAACAACTTATCAAGACCCTGTCTCAAGGTAAAACACAAAAGGTCTGAAGATGCAGCGCAGGGATAGAGCGCTTGCCTTCCACATGTGAAGGCCTGGATCCAACTTGCAGCACCACAAAAAAATAATAAAAGTAAATAAACACATTCATGTTGACCGATGACACACTAGTACCAGCACCTTGGCTCCTGCAAGGACTCTGGCAGTCCTACTGACACAGCTTCACTGGGACAAGGCCAAGCCAATGATGTGCACACTGCATTCCGTGCCATCAGGCCACCCTGACTTCATGGACACCACCCTGGCTCCTGCACATCAAATCTGAGAAATGCTGGCTTTACAGTATGAACCAAGAAACAAATTCATAATCATGATTTTATTACATAATCCTAATTTTGGAACACAGAAAAACACACTTATGGAATTCCTTAAGGGATCATTACCTCAGCCAGCTGTGGTGGAGCATGCCTGTAATCCTATCACTCAGGAGGCTAACGCAGGAGGATTGCCACAATTTGGAGGCCCTCCCTTGGCAACATATCGAGTTCAAGGCCAGCCTAGACTACAAAGCAAGCCTATCTCAAAAAACAAAGCAAACAAACAAAAAAAGAGAGCATTAACTCTCTAGCCAGGCCTGAGTGGCTCACACCTGTATTGCCAGCACTCTGAGAAGCTCAGGCCAGAAGACAGAAAGTTTGAGGGAGAAAAGAGATCATTAACTCTGAACTCAACAAAGAAATTTCAATAAAGCTAAAGATCTAGAAATAGTTGGTTCTCATTCAAACAAAACATTTTAGAGCTCTTTACTCTCTTATTGGTCCACTATATATTATGCATGACTATGCACGGTATCAAGGATAAACAGGACTCATCCACTTTCCAAGGCAGGCAGAACTGGAGTTGACAAAGTGCTTATCACACACTCTTCCTTAGTTCTTATGTATTATATACATATCACAGAAAACCTCAAACATACAAACAAGAAACATAAATAACATTCAATGCAACATTAATAAAATAGCAAAACATTGGAAATAACCTAAATCTCTATCAACAAGGGAATTAATAAAAGTAGGATATTTATAAACAGTATTACATATGAAACAAAAATGAAAGAATTAAGAGTATCAATATAGATAATCTACTGAATGAAAAATATAATTATAGAAAGATACATAATAACCACTTACATACATTTTCAAAACAAGAATGCTAACAAGAGGAAAAAACAGACAAATGGGATTGCTTATGCATAGCAAAGGAAGTAAAAGAATGGGAGAAAATATTTGCAAACCAGACAGCTAGTCATGGGTCAATGTGTAAAACGTAAGAAACTCAAACAACTCAGCAAGAACACAAATAACCTGATTTTAAAAATGGGCAAAGGATATAAATAGGCATTTCTTAAAAGAAGACAGACGAATAGTCAAAATGTGAAAAAGTGTTCATATCCCTAATTATCGGGGAAATGCAAACTAAATTACAAGAAGATGTCATCCTACACCAGTTTATAACAGCAATTCTCAAAAAGATAAAGGCCAGGGTGCTGATGAAAATGGAAAGAAAAGAGAGCCTTTGAAGGTTACTGATGGGAATGTCAACTATTTCAGCCGTTATGGAAACTGTAAGGAGGTTCCTCAAAACACTAACAACAAAACTACTATTAGGACCCAGCAATCCCACCACTGGGCATAGACTCGTCCTTCCTCATTCATGGGTTTCTCCACTGTTTTGTTACTCACTCACAAAAGTGGTCCAAATATATTAAATGGAAAATTCCAGAAAAAATTCCTAAGTTTTAAACTGCCCATCATTCTGAGTTGTGCGATAAAATTTCGCACTGTCCTTTTCCTTCTCACTCTGGATATAAACCATGTAGAGTGTCATCCTGTATGACATCCATCTGTAAGGTAGTTGGTTACCACCTAAGTTATCAGACTGACTGTCACAGCACTGCAGTATGTTCAGCAACCCTTGTTTTCAACTGTCTTCTTTTCAATTCCTTTATTTTACTTAATAATGAACATAAAGTACAAGAGTAGTGATGCTAGCAAGTCAGACAGTCCTTTAAAAACAACCCTTAAATACTCTGTTTAAATGAAAAGATAAAAGTTCTTGACTTGATAAGGAAAGAAATAAATTGTATAATGAGGCTGCTGAGATCTGCAGTAAGAATGAATAGGAAAAAAAAGGCATATTTAATTTTATTGTGCTTTCAGGCTATTGCACTTCACATATACTGCATTTTTTTTAACTGAAGGTTTGCTGCTACCTTATATCAAGAAGTCTATCAGTACCAGAAGACAATGCCTGGTTGACTCTCTTATTAGGGACTAATGCTGTCCTTATCTTTAAATTAAATCCAATGCTCACCTACCCTTCCCAAACTCCTACAGCCGTAAGAATGAGACCAGATTACCCTGCCTGTGTGCTGTGAGTACACACAAAGTGGACAACATAAACCTATTTATTGGTATTTTAAACCTAAGGTTAAGAACCACTAGTCAGAAACAAGAGTCCTCCCAAAACACTACTACTGGCAATGCACCTCGTCACCAAGCTCTCTCATGGAGATGTTCAGTGAGATCAGTATTTTTGCGCCCAATAACCAGACATCCATTCTGTGACCTAAGGAGGAGCAGTTTTTGACTTCCAAATCATTGTATTTGAGAAATACTTTGATAAGATCCCAGCTGTCACAGATTAGTAATTCTAAATCTAATGGATCTGGGTGAAGTAATCTGAAAAGCTTCTGCAAAGGATTCACTGCTCTAATGCCACTAAGGACATTCATGAGTCCAGGAGGAACTCAAAGTACCGTCAGTAACAGGAGTTTGAAAGAAGTTCATTCCAACCTTTCTGGATGACTTTGAAGGTTTGCTAACTTCAATGAGGAAGTAACTTCAGTTGTAAGAGAAACAGCTACAGAACTAGAATTAAATGTGACAGCTGTTCTAACCATCTGATAAAACTGTTAACAGACAAGGAACTGCTTCTTATGAGCAAAGAAAAGTGGTTTCTTGAGGTGGAATCTACTCAGTGAAGATGTTGTGACTGCGTTAAAATGAAGGCAAAGGATTTAGGATATTGCATATAATTAGTTGCTAAAGCAACAGCAGGGTTTGAAAGGAAGGACTCCGATTCTGAAACAAGTTCTGCAGTGGGGTAGAATGTTACTATGCTGCATCACATGCTATGGGACAGCTTCTATTAAAGGAAGGGCCAGTGAATGCGGCACACTTCAGTGACATCTTTTAAGAAACCCTAACCTTCAGCAGTCACTACCTCGATCAGTCAACAACCATCAGCACTCCAGCAAGACCCTATACTGGCAAAAAGATTTTAAGTGGCTGAAGCTCAGTTGATCGGTAGCATTTTTCAGCAATAAAGTACCTTTAAGATGTATTTTTAAAACAATGCTATTGTACCTAATTACAGTATTGTGTAAACAATTTTTATATGCACTGGAAAGCCAAAGTCACTTCATGTGACTTGCTTCATGTGACAGGTACTTGACTGCCACATGAACTTCACTACAAGCGTAGCGCTGCTACGAACCCAAGGGATCTCTGAGGTGTGTCTATAGTGTCAGTCTGCTTTCTAACACTCTACCAACTACCTTAGAGAACCAAACTTTAAAGAGAAAGGTTCTTTTGGCTCACAGTTTTGGAGATTTTGGTCTACATCTGGTTGACCCTATTGCTCTCGGTGCCCAGTGAGACAGTAGGGGCATGACACCTCATAGCTGGGAAAAAGGGTCAGCTTCCCACAACCCCCTTGGGAGCCCACTGCCAATCACCAAAAGGCATCCCATGAGCCTCCATGATTAGAGGTTCCACCTCCTCCTATAGTGCAAAGCCTAGGATGAAGCCTGGCCTTTCTGGACATTTAAGATCCAACCTATAGCACCAGCATGAGGGTCAGTACTATTCCTGGTATTGGGTATCCACTGTAGGTCCTGGAATATATCCTCCATGGATAAGGGGTAACTACTAAAAACATCCAAAGAAAATGAAATCAACTGTGTCAGACAGCTGTATGCACCTCATTTGCACTGCAGCATTATTCACAATAGTCAAGATATGGAATCAATCTAAGCACACAGCACCCGATGTATGGATCAAGAAAATGGGCAGAAACACAATGAAATATTATTCAGCTTTACCAAAGGAAACCCTGTCATTTGGGATACCACCGGTGAATGAGGACAGTATGTTAAGTGTGATAGGCCACTATCACACAAGGAGACAAATCCTGAATGACTTTCTCTTAGGTGAAGTCTGGAAAGCATGACCTCAAAGCAATAGAGAGCAGCACAGTGATTGCCAGAGGCTGGGGATAGAAAGTGGCAGGAGAGGCGCGAGATCCTGGCCAGACGACACAAAATCCAGGCAGGAGGAATTAACCTAAGACCCAGGATAAAGCACAGTGACTGGAAGCAATAATATGTTTAAATGTCTCAGAGATTGAGAGTAGAAACTGCTATGATGTAATTCCCATTTTAATTATCTAGATTTAACCATTCTGCACCATTCATTCTACATTCATACTTCAAAAGAACATGTTTTGCAT